CTTGGATTCCATGAATTGTTTTTCATTACGAATGGTAAATTGTGTTCCAGGTTTGGTTTGCTTGAACTTGATAATTCATCACCATACTAAGTGAAATTATATATATGTTTATAAATATACTTACAAAACAATTTTCAAATATCAAAGAATATCTAAAATATGTACTGCAAACATTTTCCAACATTTATTTCTTATTGAAAAATTTGTCTTAGCCTTTATAGAAAATTAACTTTTTAAAATTACCTCAATTTATTTACATGAAATTTATAATTCGGAAATATTTTTTTATAAATAATGCTTTTTTGAGCTTACAAAATTGATAAATCCTAAACATTTAGTATAAGTAAGTTTTTATTCAGTGAACATTTTAACAATTAAAAACCCATGGTCACATTCTACGGGTCACTTCGTGTTGGGTTCATGATTGTTAAAATTTCACTTAATAAACACTAACATATACAAAGGGAAAAAATCATAAATAAAAAAGAACAGCAGACTATTATCCCCCTTACCAGTTTATCACCCTGAGGATTCACCCATACACTGTTTCTTCCCCTGACAGTTCTTCTTTATCATGTGAAAAACAAATGCAAGTTCACATATATTTAACATATGAAAACTTAATCATATGAAAAACATGTGATAACCATGAGTTTTATATATGTCTATTGGCATATGTTTCTAATATAGTCCTGTTTAATATATGTTTTATACACATGGAAAACATATTTTCTTAAACACATATGGAAAACATATGGTGAGCCAAACATACAACAAACATGTGGTGCATTTTTACCCGTGATATAGATCAATTATCAAGATATTAATATTATTCGTTCAACTTTTTAAGAGGGATCATCTTATTAATGACTTTTAGGTTTAAAAGAAAAACTACTACAGTAAACACCCTCAATTAAGACCACCGTCGGGACTGGACCAAATTGGTCGTAATTGCGGATGGTCTTAATTGTGGATATGTGACATACTTTATGAACATAGTCTATTACAGTCATTTTGTATGAATATATACTATATATCTTAACCTACAAATACTACATACATGTATGTTAAAAGTATTTAATCAGATGAGAGCAAAATATTTGTTTCTGAAGAAATTTAATATGAACTTCTCTTTTGTCCGATTTCAATATTAATTATTAAATAATGTACATATTTCACCTACATGTACCATATAAGAAATGTTGTCTTCGCAAAATAAATGTGCTGAAAGCAACATTGATCCACAGTAACTCTAAAATTTACTTTCACACCTTATTTCATACAATAACCTTATAATAACATATTTTGACACCTTGTTAAAAGGAGTGTAATGCCCAAGATCATTCAATCGGATAATAACAACAAATATGTGAACTTGAAAGGTGTTGTCTTTAAAATCAGTGGTCTCAATAGTGAGTTCAAATAAAGAATAAATCACAGAATTTGGACAAAATCTGGTGGTCTTAAAAGTGGATAATCGAGGTGGTCTTAATTCTGGAGCATGTAACTATTGACATCAAGAACCGAATTTTTCGTTTTCGTTTAAAAAACTGGTTCTTAATAGACGGGGTGGTTTTAATCTGAGTTGATTCTAAGAGGGACTCTAGTGATATTTCATTTCATTATATATAAATAAATTAATGTAATTGACAGTGCCATTAGAGAGTTAATCTTATATTTGCAATGTTATCCTTTATTACAACATGAATTATTTCATAGAATTACCAGTGTTAGGTCATAAATCTTCATTTTCAATATCAATAATTTTATTCATATTACATGTACTGTTGGATTTTTTAAAGCGGCGGTTAGCTTTTATATTAGTAAAACAATTAGGTATTGATTCAAACTAAATATTTCAATAATTCTCTCCGCGTGACAATTATATGAAATGATTTATCTAAAAGTATCATATTTCATTTTAAGAAAAACTGAATGCCGCTTTTATTTCAGATTATATATTAAATGTTACAAAAATAGCACCATTCAGTGTTGTTAGGTTATAAAATTACATATGAATAATATGTAAACTTAGCATTTTAAATTGTACATAAAAAAATCTTCTCAGAAGCGAAACTACATGTCCTAAACGTATACATTTGGCATGTATTATGTCTTGTTTTCCATTACAAATTTAATCGTTATAAACCATGCTCATCAAAATTGGTTTCGCTCAGTCAGCTTAAATAGACTTGTATAGAATCGTGAAGAATACTACAATGTTACGTAGCTTGGATATTTGACATGAAATAATTTCAAATTGACCACTAACAAATATTTTATAAAGCATGTAACTTTGGTAAAAAATAGAGTAAATGTTTTCATTCGAGTTGCAAAAGTCTGACTGTTATCAGCCATACATCCACCATTCATCAGCAATTAATTACTTTACCACCAATGCCTGCTTGTAAACATTTTGTTGTATCACATCCATCTTGACATTCTTTGAAATAGTACATTAAATGAAAAAATAAAGTTATTATCAAAACCGAAATAATTATATGATTTACTTATGCAGTATTTATAATAAAAATATGCTCCTTTAATTGGCTGCTCCTTAAAATTAGATACTTTTACTAAACTAAAACTTTTCTACTGTGTTAAAATTGTCATTATTCTTAGGATAACTGTTTAAAAATACAACTTTGTATTGCATGATAACATCCAATACCTGTTTATCGGTGTTTGATCATCACTATTATTTTCAATAATTTTCATTTTTATTTTTAAATGTGCATTTAACATATGAAATAAGGTTAGTCTTAAATAACTCCCTGATGTTTATTATATTTGGTTTTAATATATCGTTCAATTACTGTCGACCCAGTACAGATGTTTTTGCAATAAGATTGTATTCGATGAATTAATGTATAGTTAGCCATTGTCAAAAATGTACTGCCGTTTAAAGGGGCGTAATACAAATACGATTCCAATTTAACTTTGCAGTGTTATTATTCATGTAACTGCTAACTTTTAATAGAAGAATTCGAATACGAGCCAGTTTGTCTCTTTAATACTATCAACGCTTAAAGGCAAAATAATGTGAATGAATGTCGTTAAATTTCGTACAGTGGATACTGTTACAAAGACCAACATCAATGATATCTGATAAAATAATTTGGCAAAAGACTATTCATAAATAGAATGAAATAATGAAATAAACGCGTGACTACGGAAAATTACCAATATCAAATTTCTGTTTTGCCTTGTATAAAGTTATAACAAAACCTGCTCGACATAATACAGACAGTCAACGCAGTCGTGGGTAGACACAGTATACTTTAATACAAATTTATGTTAATGTTCAATATATCCATTTAACACCTGTCAACTTGATCAGATAATTTGTATTTTGTACTTGATCGCTTTAACCGATTCGTTAAACCTTTTTTTGTTTCTTTTGATTGTAATTAAATGTGTAAATAATCTTCTCGCATGCCATATTATATTTGTTTTTTTTAGAGTTGTTATATTGATGTTAACAAAAAGATTAATATCAAATTATATCAATACAAGTCTGCAGTAGTTTTTTCATTTCTTCAAAAGAAAAAGAAAAACCAGGTTCTGTTTATTTGTATTTGTATCATATTTATATACATGTAGAGAAGACTTATGTTTAGCATTGTTTGCAAATTCCTTTTCATTTTTATATTTATGTTACAAGTGTTTTTGTCTTCGTTTGAATACTATCTATTTTGTGACTCATAATTTTTAAATCATTCTCCCATTATTTCAATTTTATTGATGCATCTTATTATGCATTTACAACCATGCTTTACCTGTTACAGTTTGACAGACCTTATATACGCCATAGTTGAAATCAGTCATGCTTACCGTTATAAATGTGCACAAGAAATAATAAACATTTAATAGAGAGAGTTTTGTTCTACCCTTATTTTCTATAATTGTGTGCTAATTATAAAATGACAGGTCAATTTGGTGTTACTAGATATGATAAAAAATAACTATGATAATACGATAAATGATTGTATTTCGAGTGAAATTATCGATTACACAAGAATTTAGAATTTTAAAGGTGGAGTGGTTTTTTTCTTCTCTAAAGCTTTGTTTTCCAACCTGGCTCCTCTTCAAATGGCATATTCCTCTGAGTGAGATTTCACATATATCCGTCAATTTTCTAAAATGGAAATAACAACAATCCTTTAAGGGAAATTATTTTTAATTTAGTAAACTTATTTTTTCCTACTTGAAAATATTAACATCATAAACTGTCTGCGCAATATATGTATTGTGTGCAATAAGGAATATCTTTTAATTATCTTTATATTCAATTTCAAGTGATGTTTTTTTATTATTAACTTATTTTTCGATTTCTTTTAACAGAACACAATTTTCATATGTATTCATTTATTTCATATATATTTTGAAGGCTGTTTTATGTTTATGCATTAATAAATCTAATACTTTTGCAAACAATAATTTTTTTTACAGATATTAGAATACATGTTTGTTTAATCATTTTAGCTAAGTGTCATAATCAACCTATTCATTTGGTAAAGTCTATTTACTCCACCAAGACAACCAACATTAATGTCAACATATTAAAAATAGTACGGCGCAGATAAAGGGAAGCAATACCATTCTTTTACTGACTATGATTGTAGGAGTTGTTGACATTTTTTTCACCATGAATCGATCAACTATTGTAAAACATGAGAGTGTGTTAAAATGATTGATTACAGTTTACGTTTCTGTGGCATCATAACTTAATTGTCTTCTAATTGTTTGTTTCTTTCAATTTAGATACATTTATAAAGGCTCTCCCACTTGTTCATACTTAAGCTAATACTTCATCTATAATGATTGAATTCTATATTACTTCGATTTAAACAACACAATGGTTTCTATTTTCAAGTTTCTCAAGAACAAACCTCGTTCAGTGTCAGTCCTGATCGGCATGCAACACCTAAAACACCACGCCATGATCTAGACGGCTTCTGTCCAAAGTACATGTCCAGTAATGCTCATCTCAAATTTACATTGACGTCACCTACGAAACTGCGGTGAAGATACAAGTCATGTCAATAAAATGGGCGCGAAATATCCCGTCATTCCTCGCACTTCCGTTCCGGGATCAAGCCATTTTATTGGAGGAATCGTGGTGTGAGCTATTTATTCTAAGTGCTGCGCAGTGGTCCATGTCGCTAGATACAAGTAAGGATTTGAACAAAGATGTTCTTAAATTGTTCTAACGTTATCTCATTCAACTGAAAAAATTATTTAGTTACCCGCATTTAAACAATTCAATTGTTTAATTATTGACCCTAGCTCTAACGGCACTTTGAATGCTTAAAAGGCTTAAAACCATATCCTATGAAATATATTGATATAATCTAAAATTATGTTTTTCATAACCTTATGGTCGATACTCGAAATATTTTAAATGTAGAATGTTTCTTTTAATTAACAAACATGAATACTGAACGTAAACAGAATAAATCATTTTGTTTAAGTTTTAAATGGTGGTTTAATTACTGCTTAGCAAAGATTGTGTATATTTGACATTGATTATTAGAAAACTACCAACATATTTGTTTTAAACGGACATTTTTGGGTCATTCATTTTCTAAACAAAAACATCTTTTTTGAGATGTAAACTTACACGATTAAGATTTGAAACACAGTCAAACCTGTATGAATAACAGCGAATAAAAGTCACCTAATAAAGACCACTCATCAACATACCTTCGCTCTTATTCGGATGTCCTTTGTTCACAGGTTTGGCTGTACATGCGCATTTCAGTCCAATATCGGTAAATATTTGACTGTTTAAAATATAGACCCGTGGTATTTCTTTAAATCAGCACTTTTTAATTTGGAAATTTAAGCTTAATGTTACCTATCTAGCTGTAAGTTGCTTATAAATTATGTGATAAATGATTATGTACATCTATAATTTAGGTTCTTTGATGTCTGATATTGGGGTTTCAACAATGGACCAATCAGAACGCGCGACAGTGTTGTATTCTCAGATACGAATGTTGCAAGAAATTATTCTGAGATTTGCCGCCATGCGTATTGACTCAACGGAATATGCTTGTCTAAAAGCACTTGTCCTCTTCAAATCAGGTAATTACAGTATATTTTTGTTGTTGATGCTGTTGTTTGCTAGTATGTTCATGTTAACAGTCTCAAGTCGTTTTAATTATTATAGGACTTTATATGAATATTTCTTTAATGTTTTATTAGTCTATGGTATTATTAAGTAAAAGCAAAATTAATTGTAGTTTTTTTTTTGTAAAAGACGCTTTAAGCTAAAGAATATAGTTACGAATGCTATCCGTTTGAATTGCGACCTGATAACCGTGTTAAACGACCGTACCAATAAAAACCTTTGTTTTTCAAGATTAACTTTGTTTTTTTATGACAAGATATGGGATTTTATTTGCATTAGTGTACTCAAAATGATTACAATACATATCCGAATATGGTCTAACATTTTCCCGTTAGGGTTGTACCGTACTCGATAAGATCGGAAAAATACATTGTTGAACAATCAAAGTGTCATATCTTATGATAAAAATCTAAGGTAATATATTATTTAAATCAATTAAATAAGTGGGTTATTTGTCAAACACTAACCTCGGTTACCGTTTATTAAATTTTCTATTAAAAACCGACCGTACCCGTTTAAACGGATAAATGCGACACCCCTACTTTCGAAGCATTATATTGCAAATTTGCGTCAAGCTATCCTCGGAGTACTAGTTCGATGCGTTAACCACGCGGCCATGACGCAAAATTGTCGTTATTTTGTTATAAGACTCATCAAAGTCTATTTGTATTATTTCAGTTTATTTGTATTCGGTACTTTTATTTTCTCTATACAGAAATCAAAGGGTTGCGTGACTACCTTCAGGTGGAACTGCTACAGGATCAAGCCCAGGTCATGCTAACTGAATACTGTTTCTCCAACCATCCAGCTAACAAGCTCAGGTTTGGAAAGCTACTGCTACAATTGTCTAGTTTGAAGGCAGTTGGTCCGAGGTCTATAGAAGAGGTTTTCTTTCGACGAACCATAGGGAATATTCCGATCGAGCGTCTTCTTTGTGACATGTTTAAATCAAGTTAAAACGATTGCTTAGCGCTTCCAGGTTACACATGTCTGTTAAATTAACTATCAACATTTGGGCGGCAACTGATTCTACTAGTGACTAGTGCTGACCAAGGTCATGGTCGGTACTGCTCGCTATTGAGTCTGTTAACATCCTGGAAAATTTCCCTAAAATGATGAACGGTTTTGTCAAGACTGTAAGTTGGACAAGTTCATTTAAGACATTTTGTGCGATTATGGTTCAAGAACAAAGTCCCTGATAATAATCACCAAACGTTTAATTGAAATATACGGGTAACAAAATAAAAGGGAATCTGAACAATATTCAATTCATTTGTGATTTTTTAAATGGATTTCTTCATCTTCCATTTTAAGCATTGTCAATTATCAATTTTAGGGATATCGAAATAGAAATTTAAAGGGTTATTATATTCTGTTTCCTCAATGCACAAGCTTTGCAGCGTAATGTCCTTGTCAACAAGAAAACGAAAGAGCATTACAATATAATGGGTTATCTATTTGTACAAAGGGACATTACCCCGGGAAACTTTTTCTCATATCAAACGTTAATATTTTTAATGCATGTTGTACGTATAACTTCAATAGAACAATTATAATGAATTACTTACAGCACATTTTTTTCAGTATATTTTTTCTCTCTTTGGCTCTTGTTATTTTTGTAAATAAAAGAGGCGTAATAACGCAAACTTCAGTAATACCAAATACTTTAAAGTGGATTCGTCTTACAATAGGAGCATTTTCCATCAGTACATCAAGTATTAATAAAACAATAGAAATTCGCTTGGATATTTTCATAAGATATTTCTTAAAACAAATTTTAATAGGGAGATCTTAATGATAAAGTATGGACATTTATATGATGAATTATAATCTTAAACTTTTTCTTAGGACAGCTTAACTTAATACCATCAATACAATTATTTATTGTATCATAGACCTTCAATTATGAACTAATCCACTTTAAAGAATAAGTTCTTCAATATGACAATGGCTGGGTATCATTCTGTATTATTGCTTTTTCCTATGTTTTTAATTGGCCAATGAAAAATTCGATGGAAAGTTATTATATCTTCATTATTCTATTTTGCTTCGAAGAATCTGTTAACTTTATTATTTCTGTTAGTTTATTCTTGTTTGTTTGTATTGTTAAAAATAAAATAAAATATGATAAAATTGTCAATAATGTTCATTTGTATTTAGTTTATATCGTATATTCCTATTATATTTGTACAAATTCATCCCAGTAAGTTCAATTTATAGCTTTAAGCTACCATAAACCTTGTAAAGCTGCGATATGATACTTAATACTATCAATATGATTATTTATTGTATTGTAATGGAATACCTCCCTTACAAATTTTGGACATTTCAAATGACATGACAATTTACGTTATACTTTCAACAGAAATCAACATGTGCATATATAATTCTATAAATCATGAACTGTTCTTACTTAAAATGTATTAACAATGATCAAATAGTGCTACCTTTTTAACAAATGGACTTTATTCCACGAAACACAACGTAAAACTTGAATATCAGCATTGTTGACAGTTCTCTTTTAAGAAGAGTATCACATTAGGATAGATAACTCTCGCCACAAAATGGTCAGATGACCCTAATTTATTTCCTGATGAATATCTAAAAATTTGGAACATTTACAGTTACTATAATATATCACAAAGTGAATATCTACAGACATTATTGGAAGATTCAGACGGCGCTTTCTTCTGTCATTTTTTATGTTTAAAAATGGCGGACACAGAACTTTGGAACTACTTATTTGTATTTCGGTCTGGCTTTTTATGAATGTATATTTGTTTACATTTAAACTTTCAGGATTTCTTATTTATGTAAAAATAATTGTAAGCCTGATTTAAGCCGGATGATTTTCTGTCTTTATCATATTTTATTAAGTGAGAACTGTTTTTTATCTGCGTAATAGAATACGTCTGCATATATTACTACGCTCGAGTATTTTGGACCGGCTTTTTGTTAATATGTATTTTTAAATGTTATTTCAGATATGTTTATGTGGCTTTTCAATTAAGCCATATATGTGCTACTTATGTCTGTTAGAACTTTTATTGTTATTGCTATATTGTTAAATATTGTTAAAGACTGATCACTGGACCTAGTCTTAAGCCGGGATTTTCATTGGCTGGGGCACTCTTTGTAGCGTCCCAAAAGTTTATAAATAGGGGTGACTGTCGTCATTTGGCATCTTCTTCTCAACTGTAAAAACTTGAGAAGTACTCAAAGCTCAGATAGCTCTAAAGCTTCACAGCAGTCTTACCTGATCTATAAATTTATTTAGAATTGCCTGTAACAGATTACTATCTTCTAAGGTACAACTAGTGGAAATATTGTTTAGATAAATAATAACTTACCTTAATTTGCTGGTCGTTAAGCTATCCAGTACTATCGTAAACAACAACAGTTTACTTACAGAAGTCTATTACAAATTCATTTGATGCTGAACCTAATATGAATTATCACGTTATGGCAGACTCTAAAAGATGTATTGGTCTTAGAAATTTCCAACATCCTGTCATTCTTTACATTTATTTGTAACTAAATGTTCATAACCGAAGAAGATCCCATTGCATAAGCCTAGGTCCTCTATTGTCGAGTATTGTCAATGCCGGTATTTAATCCATCGAAGAAGAATTGTTAATGCCGCTCGATATTAATCCGTTTATAACGATAGATCTACGTCACAGAGTAGTATTGTCAGCGAATATCATATACATATTTATTGAGATGTACTTGTTATATATGATGTCACATTATTAAATGACGTTTACATATTAATCGAGTTACTGATGTCTTGTACCAGTTTCCTGTGTTTATACCAATGCAGGACTTACCTATATTTGTACACTCCATCCTAAGTAATAGGTTGTATAAATCCTGGTTATATAAATATCTTGACAAGATGACCAGATACTTACAAAGAATCCCTTGATGAAACTATGATGTCTCTATTATGATCTGAGCCTACCTCTTATGATGTACTGGTATACTACAAAGATGGCTAAGATGTGTTGAAGCTATGTCTGATGTTTAAAACAACAGTTAAGTGTATGTAATATGGGGTAGAAGTATTGCCATACACTTACTAGTTAATACAGTGGCCGGTATCCTGATTAATAAGGATTTGGTAACTACCCTAGGGGGGTAGGTCCTTACAGTATCATAGACCTTCAATTATGAACCAATCCACTTTAAAGAATAATTGGTTATGTTTACAATATGACAAAAGCTAGGTATTATTCTGAAATATATACCTATAAATTTTCTCCCTAAAATACTCGCAAATCTTGAAGCGCAAATACGCTTCAACGCTTCAACGGATAGAAAATTCCTTATTATGTTAGTGACAAATACGGTACCATAATTATATGGAAGTGCCTGACAATTTTTGACGTTGGTTCCGATCTTAGTTTTGCATAACGTTGCATTTGGAAATGAGAACCAAAATAATAAAAGGCGTTGCCGGTTTTGCAAAAAATTACGTGTTTGTTATTTTCGTAATGCGCCCAGGATGTATTTTAGCTACTTTCATAATGCGCCAAGGATGTATTTTAGCTACTTTCATAATGCGTCCAGGTTGTTTTGTTTACTTTCTTAATATGACCAGGTTGTTTGGTTTCTTTTATAATAAGGCTAGGTTGTTTTTGTAATTTTTGTTATGCGCCCAGGATGTATTTTTAGTTTCTTTCATAATGCGTCCAGGTTGTTTTGCTCACTTTCTTAATATGGCCAGGTTGTTTTGTTTCTTTTATGATAAAGCTAGGTTGTTGATATTTTCGTAATGCAGCCAGATTGTTTTGGTTTCTTTCTTTATGCGGCCAGGTTGTTTTGGTTACTTTCAAAATTTGGCTAGGTTGCTTTGGTTTCTTTAATAATGCAGCCATGTTGTTTTGGTTTACTTTTACAATTTTGTGGGCAGATTGGTCTTTGGTTTTTTTTTATTTACACTCCACTATCCTTGTCTTAATTTCATTTTTTCTTTCCTTTTTAAAAGGCGGGCCTATTTCTTGTTTTTTTTGGTTTTCTTTATATAATTTGCTGCCAGCTGGTTCGTTTGGTCGTTATACGTAAGTTTATTTTATAAAGCGGCAGACACATTTCTGTTTCGTTTACCTAAGTACTTTTATAATGCTTCCCGCTTGTTTGTTATATTGTTGTAATAATTGTCTTTCCTAATGCGGCAAGCTTATTTGATTCTGATTTCTAGGCACTTTTATAATGCGGTCGTGATGTTTGTTTTGGTTGCTTTATAAAGGTCTTTTCAGAATGCGATCAGCTTGTTTTGGTTCTAATTTCTAGGTACTTTTACAATGCGACCATGATGTTTGTTTTTGTTGTTATATTCATGTCTTTTGATAATGTGGCCAGCTTGTTTTGTTTCATATATTTTGGTACTTGTATATTGTTGTCATGTTGTTTCTATAAGTATTTTCATAATGCGACTAGCTTGCTTTTGTTCTGATGTCTGGGTATTTCTACAATGCCGCCATGTTGTTAGATATGGTTGTTATATTTTTATGATATTTTATAAAGCGGTCAGATTCTTTTTGTTATTTTATCCAGCAGGTTATTTCATATATTTAAGTACTTTAGAATTCGACTTTCTTGTTTGTTTTGTTGCAATATTTCATAAAGGTTCTTTCATAACGAAGCCATCCTTTAGTTACCTGATATCTATGTACATATATAATGCGGCCACCATGTTTAAATTGTCATTATATCCAATGTATGTATAATGCGGCCAGGTCTTAAAAAACATACAACTAGAAGCGTTATAAAGTACCTTCATAATACAGCCAGCATTTATTTATATATAAATTAACGTCATACTGCAACCCCAATTGTTTATCTAGACAACTCAATTATTTTTTTTTCTTTCCTTGCTCTGGTCTATTTATCGTACCTTCACAATAAAAGCCAACAAAAGTAACAGTTTTTATTCACCATTCAGCATAATTAAAAAAAAAACCAACCAACGTTTTCAGTTAATTGAGTCACTTGAAGAGTTCAATCTTGTGTATACTGTACTTCCTGTACTAACCAGTACTAGTGTAAACTTATGATAATTTCCCAGTAGGAAACACACCAAAGATTATTGTGTATCATTACAGACCTCAAATATGAGAAAAATAAGTACATCTGTGTATAACATATGATAACTAAAACATTGATGTTGTTTCAACAATTTTATTTTTCAATTAAA